GCCCAATAGCAAAAACCTCCCAAAAAAAAAAAAAAAAAAAAAGCCAAAATACTGTGGTGGTTTTAGAAAAATGTCTACCAATTTTTCGATACTTTTCCCTTCAAGAGGTGGGGGTTCATTCGCTCCCCAGTCTAGTGTGGGCTGGACTGAGTGGCTACTGGCTGGGAACAGAACACAGCAGAGGGATGGAATGTCACGTGTGGGAGCAGGCTATGCAAATCCCTGTGGCTCCTGTCTTGGATCAAGCATGCTCTGAGACTATGCGCTAGCTAGCCCTAGCGGCACTATGGAGAGGCCAGAAAACCGGAGGCCTCTGCCAATAGCCAGAGTGGAGTCAGGTTTCACCACCACCTGAGAGAGCTTAGATCTAGCAGATTCTCTAGGCCCACTTGAGCCTAGAAATGACTATGGCTCTGCCAACGGGTTGACGTCAATCTCTTAAGAGATGGAGCTAAAATAGTTACAAATCCTGACTGACCATCAGAAACAAGGAGACATAGTAAATGCTTGTTGTTTTAAGTGGCTACATTTTACTTTGTTATACAGCAATAGATAGTGAATACAAATAAACCGGAGGATATATTTTGAGACAATGTGTTACATGGTAATGAATAATACATATGGAGCTACCATGTGGCATCAGATATAAAAAATTACTAGTAATTAGGCCAGCCAGTGGCCTGGCGGTTAAGTCGACGATCCTACATGGCTGACAGAGCAGTTCAAGTCTCAGACCTTGCGGGTTGAGACACATGCCAGGTGCCTGTGTGCACATGCCCCAAAACCCAAAAGTGAGAAGAAATAAAGGAAAATGAATTGTGGTGTGGCCATGCCCCATAGGGAGTAGCTTCTTGCTTTCTCTCACTGTTTCTCCTTTCCCCCAGGAGCACACATGCCCTCTAACAAAAATGGGAAAAAAAAAAAAATTTGAAAGCACTTTTAAAAATAATGTACTGGGGGGCTAGCAGATGGGGCAGTACCTGGGGCACTGGACTCCCACATGGCTGAATGCAGTTCAAGTCCTGAACCCAGCAGCTGACTTTCTCACTCCCTCTGGTCAAATTTAAAAAATAAAAATAATACTGATAAATAATTCTTTAAGAAAAATGTACTAGGGGGCCCAGCAGGCAGCATGGTGGTTAAAACACTGGACTCCCATGTGATTGACTGTGGTTCAAGTTCTGGACCTGGTGCATGTGTGCACAGCCAGAATCCCTAGAAGAAAGTGGAGGAGAAGGGATTGCAATGTGGCCGTCCCACCTAGGGATTGATTTCTCACTTTCTGTTTCTCTGTCTCTGTCTCTCCA